ATCTCAGGCCTCGAGGTCATGGCCCGTGGGGTCACGGAGAAGATCTCTGCCTTCCAATGCTTTGAAACTGTAAGGTTTGGGGTTTGGGGTTTAGGGTTTAGGGTTTAGGAGTTAGGGTTCAGGGTTCAGGGTTTAGGGTTTAGGATTCAGGGTTTAGGGTTTAGGATTTAGGGTTTAGGGTTTACGGCTTAGGTTGGGTACTGCCCCCACCCGGTAACAGTCAATATTAGGGGTCCTATTAAGGGCTATATATGACCATATTATAATTATCATCCAACTGTTACTGAGGGGGGGGCAGTACCCAAGGCTTAGGTTTTAGTGATTGGGGTTTATAGCTTCAGTGTTCAGGCATTAGAGTTTAGGGTTTTGGGACCTAATATTGGAGAAGCAAATGGAAAAATAGAAGATGAAATGAACAATGGGCTTTTGGGTATGTAGGGTTATTTGCGTGTATATAGGCTAGTGTCAATGTTAAGGCTGCCAAGGGACGATTAAGGGTGGATGTAGGGGTCCCTTTGGTAGTTTAGTATGGTCCCTCATTGCTATGTTTCCTAAGTGGAGGGAATATTGACTGTAGCTAAAGACGTGTTCAATTTGAAGTCATGAGTTGTGGAGCTGCAGGCAATGGGCCAACGTGTTCTCCTCAACATGCTTGCTTTCCATTGTTGAGCATTATAGTAGTTTCCATTTCCTGTTCCATTATCCTTATACAACCCCAATATACTATACTGGCTTCCATCTTATTTTCCATTATCCCTATAGAACCCCAATCTATACCCCATTATACCATAGTAGTTTTCCATATTTTCATCATTCCTATATAGACCCCTACATAATCCCTGTGCCCTAAACCCCAGAGCTTAGGCTGTCGTTGTCCAGCTTGAGCCCACAAGCAATCATGCACCAGCTGACCTCACGACCACTGTCGGAAGTCGCCCGGGCGCCCACAAATACCACCTGTGCTTGCTTTTCATGCTGATTTTTTCACGCGCTTTCGCGTGAGCTATAGTTTAGACTCGTTACGTGGGTTATATAAAGGGGGGATCATTCAGCTGAGTATGTTAAGGGGCATGCTGGGCGTTTAGATCATGGCTCAGGTGACCGAGCAGGGTCGTGCATTGATGCAAGTTCCTCGCTACATGGCGAGAGCGTGACCTCGGGCCTTTGGAGTATGGAAGCCATGTGTGTACTTGTTAAAATTGCGGTCCGGTATCGGCTACCCTAAACGTGCTGGATCTTGTTACACAGCAGAAAGGACTATATATTGTCTTGGCAGCCTCCCAAAACCTTAACCTCAACCAACAACACTCTGAACCCATGGGATCGTTTGCACTGCGCACCAACAGGGGTAGGTTCGAAAATGCTATGCACGTTGTTATATAGCCGTAAAGATACTTTTTTTACAGGGCCACCCAAGTCTTTCAGTGGGTTTGGCAAGTTACCTCAACCCTAAACCCTAAACCCTAAACCCTATACCCTAAACCCTATACCCTAAACCCTAAGCCCTATACCCTAAACCCTATACCCTAGACCCTAAACCCTAAGCCCTATACCCCAATATAACATAGTAAAAGTAGGTACACAGCCGCAGCTCGACGATACCTGCGGCCTTGGAACGAGCGCCGTTCTCAACATCATTTTGGAGTTTCTCAGAAGGGGTTTAGGGTTTAGGGTTTAGGGTGGTTCTGTAGGCTTTTGCAGAGGCTATGCAGGGCTATATGAGCCATAATCTAAACTCCTCGAGGGAGGATTATACAAGGGAGTACTAGACCACAGGGGATAGTAAGCGGGATACTAGGAATTTAGACTATGGCTCATATAGGGTATGTAGGGTTCAGGGATTCACGTTTGAGGGTTCAGTTGGGATTTTCTCAAAATGGGGACTTCTAAAAACCTTCGGGATGTTCCGAGAGTATCCTTGGTTTGGTTTCAGGGTTTGGGGATGGAGTTGAGGGTTTAGGGCTTAGGGGTTCAGGGCTTGGCGGTGGTTGTTGTTAGCAAAATTCTGTCAGCGAGTTGGAAACTGGATCGGGGGCTCTAAAATCAGTACTTCAGGTGGTGTTGGAGGGGGAAGGGGGCCCCACCCCCAAACCCCAAACCCTAAACCACAAGAAGTATGTATTTTATCGAGAACCAGGAGCCGCTCCCTCCCCCCTAATCCCGACATAAGTCCCGACGTAATTTGTTTATTTAGAGGTAGGGATTGGGCTGCCGGCGCCCACCTGCCCTCCAGGGCCCTTCTTGCACTCCCTCAGCAACGTCAGATCTAGATGTGATTTTGTAATTTCGGAACGTCCTGCAAGTTCTTAACGTTGCAATATCCGGTTCCCCAAAAATGAGGCCATGACGTCGGGGGATTGAATGGCATTGCCTTGAGGTTACTTTTTGGCTATTGGATGCAGGGAATTCTGAAGCCTCAACCTTACCCGAAACCCCTATAGTCCCCCTTATGTAGATAGAATATGGGGTATATGGGGATCTTATTGTAATATGCCCAAAGCCATATTCTATCTACTTAAGGGACACTATAGCCCTACCCAACGGCTATGAGCCCCGCTCACGCCCTTTGGCTTCCGTGGCCCTTTCCTCAACTTGAGACACTTCCACGTGGGGATGTCCCCCTCCTGGTTAGGTTTTGGGGGTTATGGTCGCTTATGCAAACAATCCAATCTTATTTGGTTCGCCAATAGAAAATCACTTCCTATCTGTCTCCTGCCGAAGACACATGCCCAGTGCCCAGTGATGCGTCCAAGGTTTGCGCGGCTCAATCCAAGCAGAATTCTTGAGGCGGCAACGTGTAGTAGCTTCCATTTTTGTGTGCGCAATTGCAGCCCTAAGCGCTACCTTATGTATCCCTGCAGAACATCCTATACAATCCCTACATATCCCTGCATAACCTCATGTAACCCTACAGCCGTTCATTTTTGAATCAAGTGTTGACAGCATTCGCCTGTGCAGGGTGTTCGACAAGCCTCACGCCGGGGTGAGATTCAGATATATTTTCAACGGAATGCGCCGCACTCAGTATTTTGGATTGCTGTTAAGGAGCTTAAGTTAAGTTACCATAACATGAGTATATAGTAAACAATATGGCTTCCTTGTTATAGTAACTGATTTTAAGTCCCTTAATAGCAACCCAGTAGTAGGTCCTAATGTGCCAACCAACTGCAAAATTTTCTTGCGGCGTACTGGCTGTTTATAAGGTGATCGCAAACGCGCGACACTTCTGTTTCGGCCCTGGTTGTGATGCGCCAGTTCACATCTGACGGTATGGAAGCTTGGCCCTGCCAAGGCCCGAACTATGCTTTCATCTTTTTGGCGATGCTCTTCATGGTTCCATCTGCCATGCTTGTAGGTCTAGCTGAGTTGGCGCGCGAGCTCTATTATGTCGATAGATTGAGCCCAAGGGCCAGAGATTTACCCCCTTGCTGTGCCAGTTCGTGTGCACATCGCCAATGCTGCTGATGATGTTGGGGCCTGAAGCCACACACTGTGCAAATGAATGCTTTGAGACTGCCTTTTGCACTGGTCATGATCAACCGTAGAGAGGGCAGTGCTATGAGGATGCGAGCGCTTCTACAATTACTTCTCTCATTTTTTGTTGTCCTTGTCATACCTGCTGCTGCCTGTACCACGAATGTTAGTAAGATGAGTATGCAGAAGTGGCGGCAGCAGTGGTAGTTTTGGTATTAGTTATCATCGTAGAGCCATGACTGCAATCCGCACGACCACCGCAGCCCACCAGCAGCATCAGCACCAGTATCAAGCGAGTTGCAGCTCTTATTAGTAACTAGATTAATCCCTATATAGCCCCTTTAGAAACCCTATGTTTCCATCAAACCAGTCCTGAACTATACACCTTTTATAGTCCCTGTAGAGCCTAGAGCCCCTGATTGGTGTGCTGCTCCTGCCCTAAACCTTAAACTCCGGTCCTGCATCTTCCCCGGTGCCTCAGGCTTGCGGGAGTTGGTGGCGGCTGGTCTCATGCCATGCGAAGCGAATCGCCCCAAGCCCAGCATGCGGGAGGGATGCTGTTTGGGTCGAGGGGGTAGGGATGCGCTTAGAGAGCATATAGGGATGTTGTAGGCTTGATGTAGGGTTCCGATAGGATCTATATGGGGATTATATAGGGGCTTCTACAGGGATTCTGCAGGGTTGATGTAGGTATTGTATAGGTTTCTATAGGGATCCTCTTGGTTTTATGCAGTAATTTAGGTTGACGTAGCAGCCATGCTACCTTGCAGCTTCAGGTTCAGAAATCGGCCATGGACACTGGCAATAGGCCATTCTCATCCCTTCTCCTGGGTTGCTGATAAGGAATTGAATTGAAGTTTCTATATTGGGGAAACCTTATTAATTACATATATACCCATTATGATATCTGAAATTAAGTTCCTTTACCGCAACCCAGTTTCGTGCTTGACTTTGCCTGCCAAAGTTTAAGTTGCCGTTTTGGGCGCTCTGGATGCAGTACATGCCGGTCTTTCCCAGCTTATGGGTCCTTTCCGCTTCTTTCGTGCCAGGCTCAAGTGTGAAGCATCCCTAGGGAGGGTTGTTATGGTCTGCTGCTGCTTTGGCAAAAAGTCGGGAGCTTCAACTGTCATCCAGGAAAGCAAGGCTGATGAGGCAAACGCGACAAGTACAGAATCTGGGTTGCTGTTAAGGAACTTGAATTAAGTTACCATAATGGGTATATATATATATGTATACACACGAATTAATATGGTTTCCCCAATATAGTAACCTGAGTGAAGTTACTATATTCGAGACCCCCTATTAAATACTATAGAAATATTTATACACATTATGGTAACCTAGCTTAAGTTCCTTAGCAGCAACCTAGGAATTGCTTGCTGAAAGCGCCCGGCTCCAAGAGAAGCTTCGGGTGCTGCCCGAACAGATTCGGCAACTTCAGGAGCAGGCAGCTAGGTTGCTGTTAAGGAACTTAAATTAAGGTAGGGTTTAGGGCTTAGGGTTTAGGATTTAGGGTTTAGGGTTTAGGATTTAGGGTTTAGGATTTAGGATTTGGGGTTTAGGGTCTAAGCTCCTATTATCCCCTAGAATGGAGAATCAAATGGAAAAGGAAATGGAACATGAAACGGAAACTGGGGGAATACAGGGGTTTAAGGAACTTAAGTTAAGCTACCATTATGTGGGGACATACTAAACAATAAAAGGGTTTCCTTATAATAGTAGCCCTCAACCCTAAACACTTTATACCCTGATTATAATAGATCCACTGGTTCCTTAACAGCAACACAGGCGGAGGAAGATGTTTTGAAGAGCCAGGAGCTTTCAGAAACGCTCCGCAATGTCGAAGCGGAGCTGGCTCAAGCCAGCAAACCGGGAGGGTCAGGCAGCTCAAGCTGGGCAGCTGAGTGGATGATGTTAAACCTGTTGGGGTAGATACATATATCATCCTGCTATTTTTCAGGGGGTATATACATATGTAACCCCATTACATTTAGGCTGACTAACCTTTTTTTGCCCTAGGAATCTCAGCAACTAGGCAAAGAAGGAGCAGGCATTGCTCGAGGCCTCTTCAGAGGCGCTTGCACTGGAGGCCGAAGCACCTCTGCCCAGCGGATGATTTTGGGGGATAATATGAGGGGATTATAAACAACATGATAAATAGACAATTAATTAAATAGATAAATACATACATATATATATATATCTATATGGTGTCCATATATATATATATGTATAGGGTATAGGGTTGAAGGCTCTGCCCAGTGGATAATTTTCAGCCTTCTTGGGTGGTGCAAAACCGCAGGAGAAACAACAAGATGGATGGATAAACCCTAAAACCTAAACTTTAAACCCTAAACCCTAAACCGTAAACTTTAAACCCTAACCCCTAAACCCGAGACCCTGAACCCTAAACCCTAAAGTTTAAACCCAAAACCCTAGACCCTGAAGGCCAAATCCTAAACCCTAGACTCTATGGATAGTCAAAAATGTATTAGACATAGTTGAATATATCAGTACTGCTAGAAGATTGGTAAAAATTATTGTTTACAAAACAAAGTATTTAAATGTGATATCCAATACCTAAGGCACTGAAGTCCATGGGCCTGGAGCCGGATGTGCCGCAGCTTTTGGTGGAGGCCTGGGGTGGCAGTGAGTTCTTGGGAGACTGGCCTTGGGTTAGGGTTTAGGCTTAGGGTTTAGGGGTTCAGGGATTAAGGTTTAGGGGTTTAGGGCTTA